GGGCGCGCGCAGTAGGGAGGCCAGTAGGGCGCGGAGGATTTTCATACCACATATTATACTATGTGTACGCGTGAGCGAGAGAGCAGAGTAGAGAGAGAGAGAGAGAGAGCAGCAGAGAGAAAGAGAGAAGGAGAAGAAGCAGAGAGAGAGAGAGACCCGCCCCCTGTACCCCCCTCCGTAATGTCCATAACGGTCGACTCATAAGTAACGGCACTATACAGCAGCGAGAGACAAGACGTTCGTCCTGTATAAAACATATCCTCGCCATCGCACGCAACGCTCGGCAACGCATCTAAATCCATGCTTTAATTACTAAGTTTAAATCCAAGCGTATATATCCTCTGCCCCTGGGATCCTCTGTCACTGCATAGATATATACAACACACTATATATCTATGTATTGTATATGTATATATCTATATATCTATCTATATATATATCTATCTATGTATGATGTATCTTGTATATATCTATGGTCCCTGTCAGCGAACACGCTGTCACAGTGCTACGCGAAAATTCCCCGCTTCCTTGTGCGTAGGTGGACTGTCATTGGCTGTTCGGCGGAGGTGTGGAAGTGATGACGTCAAGCGGATACGCGTCAGTCGTCATCATCATCGCCCACGAGACAAGGCAACGGACTGACACAGTTTAGACTGCGAGTGATCTACCTCCGCGGATTTGAGAGAATTTGTTTACAGGTAAGCGGGTTAGGCGGTCGTCGTCAACGTTACATCACGATATACCAGTTATGGAGATTTGTGCGACATTTGCTGTTTTCATCGTCGTGTGTCTGTGCGCGCGTGTGTGAAATGTGCAGTGCAGCGACGCCGTTGTCGCTGCATCGCTCGTATGCTGGCGCGGATGCTGGGACATGGCAACTTGCCAGTTCTCCAATATTGATCGTCTGACTGTGGCGCATTTGTTTTCTAGCATATATTCACTAAAAGTAATCACGAAACGTAGCATCTCTGTTTTGTTACGTAATGAGTAAGCACGTGTAAAAAATAATCTGCAATGCAGACAACGGAATCGGTGTAAGCATAGTGTAAGAAATAATTTAGATTTTTAATGTGAAAGTTGATATCTAAAGGCGGAAATTGTTTTGTCCACGTGTGTAGCATTGAAGTATAGTCTAGACAGGAACGGTACACCGTACAGTAGAAATCCTACGCCAGTCCACGTATGCAATTAGTAATTACAAATCTAGTAGCTCGATCAGCATCGGAAACACATTATTTACACGTAGCCTACGTTTTTCTACTTTTGACATTGATGTACGTTTGTTATTTTATTAATGAGACAAATTTATCATTTTTAATTTTTCTCATTAACTCCTGATATATATATATATATATATACATGCAGGCTGATGCAGCTATACATATACATTACATACATATAAATATACAGCTATGCACGTGTAATTGGAGACCAGTAATTTGCTGTGGAATTTGCAGCGTAATGCTACAAGACAATAGCAATTCGCTGTGCGTGTCTGAAGTGAGTCACTGGGTTGCGAAACTCTGGTTTGACAAGTCTGAGTGTCTGTAAAACCTGAGAGGGAAGCGTTGAAGTTTGTGCGCTAGACCGTGAATGGTGATAGAAGTTCGCCACTCTGTGCATAAAAATTATATACACGTTTCTCATTCACAGCATATGTTCGCGGGATCTTGAAAGATTTTGTGTTGGTGATTGTGGTGTTTTATCAGTAGTGATCAGGTTTTGAAATAACGGGATTAATGACTGAGTCCGAAATCAAATATGTAATACTGACATGCGCATCACTCTTGTTACCAGTTGCACTGGAAGCTGTCTACAGTGAATGTGTGCCCCTGTAGAGACAGTGCGAGTCTCAGCTTTATATACGTGTCAATAATATGGTGTTGTTGTTCTCTCTTTTTTCGTAGAAAATTATGCTTTACAAAGTCATAAGCAGGCAGTTGCTGCGTTTGCCGAAGGTCCAGCTGCGGGTGCATTGTGACTCTGCCAGGTGTCAGTGCACTCTCGTTAGCAGTCAGATACTCCATGAAGATGGCATCCGTAACCACTTTATGGACAAGGAATCACCAAGAATACTCATAACTGGTAAATCAACCGTATACCGCCTCCACACACTCACACACACATGCACCACCATGTATGGTACCGTGTACCATATACAGGCCTGCACACACGCACGCATACAAACGCATTCACGCACGCACACAAACTCGCACACACAGACGCACATACGTACGTTATATATATATATATAGATATCACTGTAAATATAAGGAGAGTTAGATTCTTAGAATACTAGTCACTTAGTTTCTCGTACAGCAGGCTTCCAGCAGGAGCAGCATGCAATTATATTTGATTCACATTGCATCACGCCATCTCACGTGTCATATATGTCACGGTCAGTGCCACAGGATATTTAAATATAGGGCGCATTCGAAATTGAAAGTTGGAATTATTTATAGTTTGAAATTCTCACCATCTGGTTGTCGCTATTAATAATGTCTGGTATGTAGTTAGCCGCTGCTGATTACATGTGGGAATTAACTTTCAGGTGGTCTCGGACAATTGGGCACGCCGTTAGCGCAAGCATTCCGGTGAGTTGACATGCATTTGTGACCTTATTTGCCAGTGGAACTAACGACTTTAGTTTAAAGTAGAACAAGCAATTAAGAATATGTCATTATTTGCACACGATTCAGTAAACAGGTTTTTCGGAGAGAAATTCTAAGTGTTCGCGCGCGCTCCCATTTCTCGGTGGCGGTAAGGTGAACGTTAGTCACGGGCCAACATAATAATTTAGTACGTCTGACTCGATGACAACACGAAAAAATGTAGACTGTGTGGTCTTGACAGTCTGTGACAGACTTGACCGTGGCTTTTTAGCTTGTAGTACTAGCAGATCTAAACAAAACTTTCGGTTTTTGCTTTACGTGCGTAAAGTCGGGAGATATACGTTACGCGGTTTACTCTGGTTTTTTCCCCCTGCGAGATGTTTCAATGTTTGGCGTTTATTAATAAATCGCATGTGATGTGTCCTTGAGAGATCGTTTCACGTGTTCACGATCGTTCGCCGCCGCAGCCAGTTTACGACTCGTGCCTGTAGGAACCCAGATGAAGTGCGAATGTCGTGCCTTACTCATTGAGTTCGTTACAGCATTGCAGTAT